CCAGCTGATCGACCCCGACGAAAACCGTATTGGTGGTCACTAATCAGCTGGTGATCCTCAAGGTACCGGATGAGCTGGCAGTTAATAATTGATTCCATTATTTTGGAGAACAAGGAGGTGATCGCGATAGGCCTATAGTTGGATGGGTCTGAGCGGTCGCCTTTTTTAGGGATCGGGTGGACAAAAGCTGTCTTCCATGAGTTCGGGACTACGCCTTGGGAGTAGGAGTACCGGAAAAGACGCGTTAGGACCGGTGCCAACTCCGGAGCACACGTCCTCTGCACAATTGGGGGGATTCCGTCAGGCCCACTAGACTTCTGGATGTCCAGGGAGAGAAGTGCTTTGCGAACCGAGCGCTGTGAGAACAGCACATCCGGTATGGAGCACTCACACCGCGGGATGGTCGGCGGTGTTTACCCCCCATCATCAAGAGTCGAGTAGGATACAAAGAGGGAGCCTAAAAGGTCGGCTTTGTCTTTTGCGTCTTGGGCCAGTGAGTCGTCCTCCCTGTGCAGAGATGGTAGTGATGGCTTACAGAAATTCCCTTGGACAGCCTTGGCGAGAGACCAGAATGCACGGGTTCCCAAAGGAAGGCGAACTAGTTTCTCGCCAATTCTGCCTATGTGCTCTGACTTTGCCCTGGCAATAACTCTTTTGAAGGACCTGGAGGCGAAGTTATACTATAGAATAGAATAGAATAGAATAGAATGTAATTTTATTCAATATGGATTATTACATAATACTTATTGAAATTCATTATTTTATTTACCACTGGTTCGGAAAATACCTCTGTCCTGGGAAGAACCAGCAAGAAACCCAGCGGGACTTTTTTTTTTAAACATAATTTCACTTAACAATAATTTTGTTTATACAATTTTAAATGAATTTTCATAGAACCAGCATGGTGGCGATCACCTTATTCCCAGGGGTTATTTTCATTCATGTATTCCTTGATATTATAATAACCCTTTTTGTACAGTTTTTCTTTAATAAAACTTTTAAACTTGTTTATTGACAAACTTTGAACATGTTCTGGGATTCTGTTGTAAAAGCGTATACATTGCCCCATAAATGAATTACTAATTCTGTGGAGTCTTGTAAGTGGCATTACAAGCTTATGTTTGTTCCTAGTGTTTAAGGTATGAACATCCTTATTCTTATTAAAGCTATTTATGTTTTTATGTACATACATTACATTTTCATAAATATATTGCGATGCCAAAGTTAATATGTTTATTTCTTTAAATTTTTCTCTAAGGGACTCTTTACAATTTAGATTATAAATCGCCCGTACGGCTCTCTTTTGCAAAACAAATATAGCTTCAATATCAGTCGCATTACCCCATAGCAAAATTCCATAAGACATTACGCTATGAAAGTAACTAAAATACACTAACCTAGCTGTCTCAACATCTGTGAGACTTCTAATCTTTCTTACAGCATATGCTGCAGAACTAAGTCTGCTTGCTAATTTAGATATATGGGGGCCCCATTGAAGTTTCGCGTCAATAGTAATACCGAGAAAAATAGTGGTATCCACAAGACTCAACTCCTCCCCATTTAAGAGCACATTGGTTTTCGAATGTTTTACATTAGGTATTGTAAATTTAATACATTTTGTCTTATTGCCGTTTAAGAGCAAATTGTTGGCGTTAAACCAATGTACTAGTTTCGATAGAGCATTATTTACATCGTCATATTTAATTGACTGCCGTTTCAGTTTGAAAATTAAAGAGGTATCGTCAGCAAATAATACTATATCGTGATTGTCCCCTACAAGATAAGGTAAGTCATTAATATAGATTAAGAACAGGAATGGGCCAAGAATCGAGCCCTGAGGAACGCCCATTGATACTACTGATCCGGAGGAACATTTACCATTAATGACGACTTTTTGAGTTCTGTTACTTAAATATGAAGTAATAAGTTTAAGCGCCAAATTTTTTACACCGTAATGTTGTAGTTTCCTGATTAATGTATCATGATGAACACAATCGAAAGCCTTGGAAAGGTCACAGAAAATACCTAAGGCATCTTGTGAATTCTCCCAGGCATTAAAAATATATTTCATAAGCTCAACACCGGCGTCAAACGTCGAGCGACCCCTTGTAAAACCAAATTGATTTTTATGAAGTAATTTATTTGTATTAAAAAAAATTAACAATTGATCCAAAATTATTTTTTCAAAAATTTTACTGAGAGTTGGTAGTACAGAAATAGGTATATAATTAGCGGGGTCCAATGTACTACCAGATTTAAATAAAGGTATTACTTTACTATACTTCATTAAATCAGGAAACACACCAGAATCGATACAAGTATTAAAAATAATAGCAAGATGAGGTGCAATTAAATCTATTATGGACGCAATCACTGTAACGGAAATCCCCCACAAATCTGCGGTTTTCTTTACATCAATGGTTTTGAAGTATTTTACAATATTATGCGGTAATACTTTTTCAAATCTAAATTCTTTTAAACAGGTATTAACATTCTGTTTAAGTAATGATTCGGCGACAGTTGGAGAAGCATTCAATGACTCTGTTGTCAAGATAGGAACATCAGTGAAATATTTCTCAAACACCGCTGCAACTTCTTGATTAGATTTAGTCAATTCATTATTAATTTTTAATTGATAGTTTGAATTACGAGGTTTCTCTTTACCGGTTTCGCTGTTAATTATACTCCACGTCATTTTAATTTTATTCTTAGCTGTCTTAATTTTGTTACTAATATGTAATGATTTGGCTGTGGAGCAAACTCTTTTAAACATTTTAGAATAATTTTTTACATATTCTTTAAAAGCATCGGAAAGATTATACGATCTTTCATGGTAAAGGTCATATAACCTTCGTCTGCTTTTATGAATTCCTACTGTCGCCCACTCATTAAATGCCTTGCGACTGTTTCTGGAGAATGTTTTAGAAGTGAATGTTTTATTAAATACATTGTTTATAAAGGTAAATAATTCTCTATATACATAGTCTGCATTGTTCTTATAAGAAAGGGATGGAAGGATTTTTAACATATCACTTCTAAATCTCTCCAGGCGTTTTGCATTAATAGGAACAAACACAATTTTCTCATTTACCTGTTTTTTGTGCATATAAGGTAACGAAACCAGTTGTCCACAGTGATCTGAACTAAGTTTTTGTATTATTGATTTGTTGATTGGTACAACACCTGTAAAAATACTATCAATACAAGTTGCACTACACCCTGCAATACGTGTAGCTTCAAAGAATAAATTATTAAGATTATAGGATTTGAACAAAGAACAGAATTTAATACTGATGGAAGAAGTTTCCAGGAGATTGATATTAAAGTCTCCACACACTACAAGAGATTTATTCTGTTTATTAAGCTTAACTAAAACTTCTTCCATAATTTTTTCAAAAGTATCATAACTTGAACATGGGGGTCTGTAAACACTGACAACAATAAGGTGCTCAAGCTCAACACATGCCATTTCTACAGTACGCTCAACAGAGAGGCTCACAATGTCTTTACGTTCTTTACATGATAAGGACTTATTAGCTAATATTAAGGAGCCACCACGTAATTTAGTATCTCTATTGAACGAACTGACCACCTGGTGATTACTGAAATTAAATATGGAGTTGTATTCTTTCAACCAATGTTCTGTAATACATAAAATATTTATACTGTTACTATTTAAAAATAAATCAATTTCTAATTCTTTACTTCTTTTAAGTGTGCTGGTGTTTACATCCCGAGTCACCGAAGCCGCAGCCCAGGCTTGATAACACTCCTGCTTACTGCGTAATGCAGTCTTACAGGAGCGACCAAACCAAGGCTGAGATCTGCCTCCGATGGGTACCACAGATGATGGAATAAATAGTTCCATTCCCTGTAACACCACATCAGTGACAGCGTCAGTTCAATTCAATTCAATTCAATTTATTTGCTATTCTTGTTGTACATTTGGTCTTATATTTAAAAAAATGTTCAAAACAAGAACCCTGCAAGGGCACTGCAAATATAGGCAATTATTAATATTATTATTACATTCACATTATAGTATTATAAAATTATTATTTAGTGAATATTTACAATTAACTTAAATATAAATTAGATCATATTATATTGTATATTTGTTTCAATTTCCTATTTCCTACTCAATCACTAAAAAACTCCTGCAACGAGTAATAACATTTTTTCGTTAAATATGTATTAACTTCCTTTTTAAATTTTTTAATGCTTTTAATGCTTCTGATTTCTTCTGGAATTTTGTTATATATTTTTATTGACATGGCATAGGGACCGGTGTTTACGATTTGTAATTTTGATGTAACTGTGGATAACTTTATTTTTGGTCTTAAATTTTTAGGGCGAAAATATTGAGGGAACCAGTCGATATTATTTCTAGCTAGTGAGCATATTTCGGATATATATAGGGATGTTAATGTCAGGATATTATAACTGATAAAGTAATTTCTACAACTTGTTATGGAGTCAATATTTGCAAGTATGCGAATACATTTTTTCTGAATTAGAAATACTTTGTTAGCGTCTGTGCTGTTACCCCAAAGTACCACACCGTAGCGTATCCAGGCGTCTGCGTACGCGTAGTAGGCACAGGTTGCTGTTTTTAAGTCGGTGGTTTTTTTAAGTTCTATAAGAGCGTACGTAAAACTAGATAATTTTTTGACAATTTTATTAATGTGTTCCTTCCAATTTAAATGTGCATCTATATTTATACCCAGGAGACAGTGAGAGTTAACAGATTCTAAGGGAATATTTAGGTATTGGTAGTTGATATGTAAGGGGCGTTTTTGGTATGGTCTAAATTGTAAAAGTTTAGTCTTCTTGAAATTAATCTCGAGGTTGTGATCTTGGAGCCAGCAATTTATTACATTTAAATTAGAGGTTAGGAGATGGTGTAAATCTGTGCTATTGGGACAGGGGAGAATTAATGAAATATCATCAGTGTTTAGGCCTTATCAGGACTTTGTAAATAAAATAAGTGGACTGTATTTAACTATAGATTTAATGCCGTAAAATACTCTGAACAAATACAACGCAAATTGAATAGTGAAGTGCCCGTCTGCTACCGCGTCTCGCAGCTGAGTGTCCGACAGAAGCGCCTGCGCAGTCGCAGGGTCATCGACCGGTCCGCGCCCCCCGCGTCCTCCACTTTTGGCCAAGGCGCGATGACGTGCGCCGACATATTCCCCGGGTTGAAGAGACGTCTTCAATCTTCAATTGGCAGAGGACAGATGCAGTTGACAGCACGACGAATGATGCCTCGCTTCGTCTTCAACTCAGCCACTCGCGTGATTCCGTCTACGCCGGGATAGGTCGTCATGACCCGGCCCAGGGACCAGAGCAGCGGTGGTGTTGTCTTGTCCTTGATAAGAACTAAAGACCCCTGCTTCACTTCACCTCTGGAATGAAACCACTTGGATTTGGCCTGCAGCAGAGAGATGTATGTATTATGAAATCGGCTCCAGAAATGCTGTCTGATGTACTGTATTCTCCTCCAGCGATCCAGTCGCGTGATGTTGGCATCAGTCACCTGGGAATGTGGTACAGATAAGAGTGGTCGTCCAATCAGGAAATGAGAGGGAGTAAGTGCCGAAAAATCGTTAGGGTCTGAAGAGAGAGGAGTAAGAGGACGCGAATTCAAGACCGCCTCTATGTGCGTAAGACAAGTAACCATCTCCTCAAAGGTAAAATGGGTAAGCTTTAAAAGTCTTTTAAATGATGTTTGCAAGATTTAACAGCAGCCTCAGCTAGTGAATTAAAATGTGGGCTGTAAGCAGGCGTGAAAATAAATTCGATACCCTGTTGTGCAATTTCAGATGCAACACTCGATGAATGCAAGAACCTATGCATTTCATTTGATGCGCCTACGAAATTTATCCCGTTATCGGACGTAATGCTTTGAGGCTTGCCTCGACGCGCCACGAAACGATTTAAAGCGGCCATGTAAGCCTCAGAGGTGAGGTCAGTGACGAGCTCCAAATGTACGGCTTTCAGTGCAGAGCAAACATAAATGCACATATAAGATTTTGTAAGTTTGCAGCCGCGACCTCTGCGATCGGCCACCAATACTGGCCCAGCGTAGTCAACATAACAATTTAAAAATGGAAATTCGAGATGAGTTCTTGATTGAGGTAGTTGACCCATTATAGGCTGAACGCTTTGAGCTTTATGTCTGAAACACTTAAGGCATTTATTCACGATATTTCTAGAAAGGTTTCTACCACCCATGGGCCAATAAGTCTGTCACATATAAATGTGACAATAGTAATTGAGGACCGGCATGTAGTAGCTCTAAATGTTTCATTTGAAATATAAGCTTAGTAAGTATGTGCTTACTGCATATTATTATGGGATGCTTTACACTAAAATCGTAGAGGGAGTTATCAAGCCTCCCGCCCACGCGGATGAGGTTATGATCGTCAATGAACGGAGTCAAAGAAATCAATCTACTATTGCGTGGCAATTTTTGTTTAGATTTTAAAAGATGAAATTCTTCAGAAAACATTTCTAACTGTGAATAATGTATTATTACATTGTACGAATCTTGAAGTTCTGTTACGGAAAGATCGCCACACAATTTATTTTTATTTTTTAGATTATGTATAAATCTTTGTACATATGCAAACAACCTTTGAATTTTTGGAAAACTAGAATATTTTTCTAATAAGCGATGAATGATAGATGAATATATGGTTGAATGTGAATGATTACTAAGTACATGATGGTCGCTATCACTACATGTGAAATGAGTCACTACCTCCGGCAAATCGTGTTTCTCTGTATTTGGCATTTTAGGCCACTCATTTTCATTACGCAACAGAAAAGAGGGTCCGGACCACCACAGTGGTGTGTCCTTGATAACGTTAGCTTTAAGACCACGGGAAACAAGATCCGCCGGGTTGTCCCTCGACGGTACGTAGCTCCAGGTATGACCATAAGTGCTCTCCTGTATCTCGTTGACTCTATTTCTCACAAAAGATTTTAATTGATTAGCTGGAGTAGAGAGCCAACCCAAGACTATGGTTGAGTCGCACCAGAATCTACATCGGTGAATGGGTAAAGAAAGCGCTTCCTGAACCTTGGTACACAGTCTGGCACCTAACAATGCTCCACATAGTTCAAGCCTTGGTATTGTTGTCGGCTTGATGGGCGCTACACGATTTTTAGAAACTAGAAGTTGTACGCCAATAGTATTACTGTTACTGCATGACCGAATGTACACACATGCGCCATAAGCTTTTTCGGACGCATCGGTGAAGACGTGTACTTCATGCGTACTAGAGTTTTCATGCAAAACCCAACGAGGAATCTTTAAATTATTTAAAGATGTTATTGTATTTTCGAATGTCGACCAAAGGTTTCTGACCTCGAGGGATACTTCGTCGTCCCAGTCATAGTTGTGTAGCCATAAACGCTGCATGACTATTTTCGCTTCGACAACGCATGGACCTACGAGACCTAATGGGTCAAAGATCTGACTGATAACTGAGAGGATGTGACGTTTAGTTACTTTAGTGGTCGACTTTATGTTAATAGAATAAGTAAGTGAATCAGAATCGCAATCCCAATTAAGACCCAAAGTTTTAGATTGATGTGAATTTAAACCCTGCTTATAAAAATGCAACGTATGAGTATCATACGATTCGTTACTGTTTGTAATTTGATTTAGAATTTGAGGATGGTTTGATCGCCATTTGCGTAAGTTAAATTTAGCGGAAGATAGAACCGATTGTACGCGTTTTGCAATTGTTACAGTCTCAGCTATGGTGTTTCCTCCACTCAAATAGTCATCAACGTAGAAGTCACGTCGTATGGCCCGCTGGACCTGACTATCCTCAATGTTATCAGCCAGACTTACCAGGCACTTCGTGGCTAAATAAGGAGCAGAAGCGGTACCATAGGTGACCGTATTTAATGTATAGGTTCTAAGAGGTTCTGAAGGATCAAATCGAAAAATAATTTTTTGTAGAGGACGTTGGACTGGATTTAGCTCAATGGCTCTATACATCTTCTCTACATACTTTGACACTGTCTCTATCCCCATTCTTATAGAGAAACTGTTTCGACTTGGAATACGTGGTCCATTTCACACCCTTCTCATTGACTACCTTAATAAGAGAGCCCAACAGGTAAAACTTGATGATCTCGTTTACAGTTCAGTTGAGCCTACATTTCTATATGGCGTCCCACAGGGTAGCGTACTTGGCCCTACCTTGTTTCTTATCTATATTAATGACCTTAGTCTTATAAAACTTGAAAAGGGCACAATCATTTCCTACGCTGATGATACGGCCCTTCTCTTCCATGGAGAAAGCTGGCAGGATGTATATAACATAGCAGAGAGGGGCCTTCAAATAGTAACTAAATGGTTAAAAAACAATCTATTATCTTTAAATATTAATAAAACTTGCTACATTACATTCTCAATTCTTAACTCTCTACAACCTCCTTCTAATCTACAACTAACGGCCCACACTTGTAGCAAAAACTCTCTCATCTGCGAGTGTAGCGCTTTAGAAAAGGTCTCTTCCGTTAAATATCTTGGTATATATATAGATCAGCAATTAAATTGGCAAAGACAAATTGAAAATTGTACATCAAGACTAAGAAAATTGATATGATTATTTAAATATCTTAGATGTGTTGCGGACAGACAACTTCTGATTCATATATATAAAACTTTAGTGCAGTCGATCATCAGTTACTGTTTGCCTATTTGGGGTGGAACGCACAAAACGAAATTAATTCAACTTGAACGTGCTCAAAGATCGATCTTGAAAGTTATACTAATGAAAAAAATTACATACAGCACCGTGAAAGTATATGATGATTGTAATGTTCTTACCGTTAGACAGCTTTATATCTTACTGTGTGTTCTAAAAACTCATAAAACCAATACTCCTGATGATAAAATCAATGCTAAACGAAATCCATACTGTGTTATTCGTAATAAAATATCTAAAACCGTTTTTGCACAAAATCAATACTGCTCAAAATCAATAATTTTATATAACAAAATAAATAGAGTACTACACATTTATAACATGTCATTTCTGGAATGCAAAAGAACGAAGGCCCACACACTCTGTAAAACATGTACTTTTACCAATAAATAAATTATTAAATTATTATTACATCACCTGAGACCACGTATCTATGTTGACGAAAACGTATTAAAATGGAAAAGAGATCGTCTTGCACTACGGGACCGACCATCTGAATGTCATTAAGAGACACGCCCGAACTGGTAGAGGCTGATGCGTCGAATACTACGCGTAGTTGAGTAGTGGTACTAGAGCTACGAGTGACTCCATGATGTGGAATGAAATATGTGATCACGGAGTTTTTAGGCGTAGAAGTACAGTCAGAGTCTAAAGTCATATCACCTAAATGCTCATATTCTCTCATAAATTCACAATATTTAGTTTTAAATGAAGGATCGCGTTTAAATCGCCGTTCCAGGGATAGAAAACGATTTTTTGCGTTTTCATACGAATGCCCTAAAGTTCTAGAGTCCTCTTTTAAGGGCATCGTCACGACAAACCTACCATCATTTTTACGAATGGTGGTTTGGGCAAAAAGTTGTTCACAGACCCTTTCTTCAAGAGAAAGTGAATGTTTTGACGACACGTTGTCAAGCTCCCAAAATTGAGTTAGGTCGGGAGTGACGTTGGAATGCTGACAAAGGTGTGATGAAACAAAACTAGATTGATGTGAAATACTACCGGAGACAAGCCAACCGAATTTAGTTTCGCAAAATTTAGGTAAATGTTTCCCTAAATCTATAGTTTTGCTGCCTAAGACATTCCAAAACACCTCAGCCCCTACCAGGATGTCTACGACCGACGGAACATTAAAGTTCGGGTGTGCTAGTGTTAGACCTGAAGTAATAGGGACGTGATTTATATGCACGAATGAAGACGGTAGAACCTTTGTTATTTCGGGTAAAATATGACACTCGATATCAACAGTAAATATACAGCATAAAGACTCAATTGTGAGGTGACAAGACTGTGTACTGGTGGATATGTGATTATTAATACCCGTTACCTTGGTGCTCGTATCGCGATGTGACAAACCCAGTTTCTCTGATAGTCTCTGCGTAACAAAGTTGGCGGTACTACCGTTGTCCAGCAGTAGCCGCGCAGTGTACTTCTTACGCGTCCCGCTAATCACGTTCACCATAGCTGTGGACAGTAAAACATGCGCAGGAGTAGCAAGCTGCAAGGAATTGGCTGATAGTGCGATGTTTGACGCAGAAGGCAAAGCAGAAGGCAATGGATTCGAAAATGGTTTGGGTTCACTAAATTCTAAATGCAAAAGCGTATTGTGCTTTGTTTTGCAATATTTGCAATGTGTTAGTTTACACTGCTTTGCAGAATGTCCGACGCGCAAGCAGTTAAGACAAACATTGTAATCATTTGCCTTTTTTATGCGATCCTCTATAGTTAAGTTTCTAAAGGATTCGCATTTATATAATGTATGAGCCTGGGAGCAAAGTGGACATTTATTTATTTTATTAAAATTATTATGTGATTTTTTATTAACTTGAGTTACTTTATAATTGGAATGTTTATATGTATGACTATTATTTAAAGCTACAGTAGTATTCGTCTGAGAAGAATTGATATTTGACTCGACGGACTCTAACCAATCCGCTTTCCTGTTTAAAAAGGAACAAAATTGCGTTAAAGTAGGATCATCTTTTAAAATATTGTTCCTATGCTCTTCCCAGTCACGACTTGTTGTCAAATCTAATTTTTTAGTCATGACATATATTAATAATGTGTCCCAATATTGAGTAGGCTGATTTAGTTTTGTTAGTGCCCTTACATTATTATTAAGTGTATCTACCAGGTTTCTGATTGAGACACTTGACTCCTTGACTATAGGATCGATATCAAACAAAGCTTGCATATGATTATTGACAAGGAGACGGTTGTTGTTATACCGCTCACACAACATGTCCCATGCAATTTTATAATGATCGCCTTTAAAATCAATATTTTTAATAACTAAGGCTGCGTTTCCCTGCAATGAAGCGCGCAAATAGTGGAACTTGTTTATTTCATTGATACTAGAGTTATCGTGTATTAATGACGTAAATGTATCTCGAAATTCGAGCCAGCACTGGTAGTTCCCATCGAAATGAGGTAAATCTATTTTAGGCAAACGAACAAAACTATTCTTATTTAAACAGTGTGCACCTGAGTCAGCATCTCTGAAGCCCGCCTCTGACCCAGCACCGTTGGACGAAGCACCGAGCAAGCTGCGCGTGATGGCCACAAGATTGAAGAACTGACGGTCAAAGTCCTCACACTCAACCAACGTAGACCCCGCATCATCGGCAAGCACTTCTATGTTTGTCTGTAATTCATCAAATTCTGAATATAAGGTTTCGAATTTATTAAAACGCTCCGCTAAGTCTAGACGTTGCAGCTCAGAAATATCAGAACTACTTTTAATTAAATTTAAATAATTGTTGTAAATTGTAAGCTTTGATTTTATCGAACTACGCTTCTTCAATAAAGTTTTTAAACTATCTGCCATTTTATTTTTATATAAATACAGCAAAGGAAAAGAAAACGTTGATTACTTTAGGATAAAAAAGATAACTGCTGTGCGAGAACAAAAGGACTGTTGCGCGCAGGTAAAATATGAATCAGCGCAAGGTCAACGAATGGACACTTGAGCGCTTGATATTTGTAACGGAATAAGCATTTAAATTTAAACAAGCGAACGTTGCAATGACAAAGCAATTTTTAAAGCACTGAAGTTGTTTAGGTACCTACTTATTAAAGGTTAATGAAATATTACTTAATATAATTTAGCCAATGAAATATGTAGAAATGATTTTCTCGGCATGAAAAAATAGAGGAAAAATAACTAATTGGAACGAACTCACTCAAATACAGATTTTATACTCCCAGGATGACATCAGCGTCTTCAATGATGACGCAGGCTGCTACGGGAACGACTGCCTTCTTCAATATAAGTGGCCGTGGGTTCAAAGTTCGCACGGTGACCGTTGACGATGTCGACGTTAATTACGGCAAAAAACTGGTAAATGTTTTTCGATCGAAGGACCATATGTTTAGGCCTTATCAGGACTTTGTAAATAAAATAAGTGGACTGTATTTAACTATAGATTTAATGCGGTAAAATACTCTGAACAAATACAACGCAAATTGAATAGTGAAGTACCCGTCTGCTACCGCGTCTCGCAGCTGAGTGTCCGACAGAAGCGCCTGCGCAGTCGCAGGGTCAACAACCGGTCCGCTCCCCCCGCGTCCTCCACTTTTGGCCAAGGCGCGATGACGTGCGCCGACAATCAGCAAAAAGAACACAGGGGATATTACACATATTGGGAAGGTCATTCACATATATTCACATATATCATAGTCAGCAACAGCGCTGGGATCATCCCGCGAGAAGCAAATGGGTAGGAAGCAAAGAAAGACCGCATTCCGTCCCAATCCGCCGACCTGTAATGCCAAACACGGCGGCAACCTGCAAAACGCAACCGCGAGGGGAGCGTGAGTGGCACCACACTCCGGATCAGACAATGGTCCGAAGAGCCGAGAGGGGCATCGACGGAAACCTGATATCCGTCCGGATGAGAGGTCAGCAGAAGGTCCAACAGCGAAGGTGTATGATCCTCCACATCTGGAATCCGCGTAGGCGAAGTAACCAGTTGTGTCAGACCATATGCCAAGGCAAAGTCATAAACAGATCTCCCCGCATGATCGGTTAAACGTGAACCGAGCCATTCGGCGTGGTGGGCGTTAAAATCGCCAAGGATCACGATCTCTGCGGATGGGATCTGTTGTAGCATGGAATCTGTAGCCATTTGGACGTGGTCGATGAGTCGGTCTGTTTCGGCATTACCGCGATGGGACCTATAGAGGCACCCGTAGACGCGCGGATGGTCGTCGCTGTCTACGCGTAACCAAAGGATGGACAGGTCCGAACCTTCAAGACTGCCGAGGCGTCGAGAACAGATGTCCTCTCTGACATACACGCAAACTCCAGCCCGGGGCACAAAGGAGTGCTCCAATTTGTACCCCGGGTAGGAGAGATACGAAATATCATCCGGAGAGGAAACCTGCGTCTCGGTCAGAAAGAGCAAGGCCGGCTTCGCCGTCTCGAGATGGTAGTGGACGGCGCTTAGGTTAGAGTGAAGTCCCCTGATGTTGCAGAAATTCACGGATAGCGTGGCAGGGGTCGCCTTGGTGTTCTTGATCAGTTTGCCCCGAGCAGTTATGTTTTTGAGCGGAATTTTGCCCCCCCCCCCCCCCCCCAGAATACGCTCAGGATTGGAATAATATGGTCGTGGATGCTCAGCGAGGGATTCTACAGGGGTACTGGTACCCTCCTGGGGTAGTCTATTGTGTAATTCCGCTACCATGTTGATGGGGGGGGGGGGGAATTGGGCCTCCGGCCACCTGCACTCACCAGACGAAACGCAGAAGCAGACCTTCTCCTTCACGCCGGTATTCTGTGAGGTCGTGGTACCAACCCGGCTCGAGCCGGCCCATACGTGCAACAGCAAAAACTGCTGCGTGGCTCTACCACCGTTAAACTTATATGCACATTATGTTAGCATAATTAATTTTTTTTTGTTGACTGGTAGAGAATTTGACAACCATTGATAATGTACTGCGTATCATATGTAGTTACATTAAAGCATTTATTCTATGACTAAAGGTACTTCAATGGTGATAAATGATAATGTATAAGTTCACACTTCGAAACTTAGGATGAATTAGTTGAACTTTATTTTAACAAAGGTTTAATATGTTAATAAAGAAATTTACATAATGTGTACTATTTTAGTTATTTTAAATTCAAATGAGCGTTTTCTTTTATATGGCAAAAAGTGTCTTTAGTTATGTAGGTACTTTATTGACCACCATAATTCATGAAAATAAACTTTTATCATTAATAACTGATCATTATCATATTCATAATATACGTAATTTTCAAAGAAAAAAATAAATTAATAATGAATGATTCTTACAATACTTCTACATACTTACAGTCCCACAAAATAGAGCTGTGCAAAAAGGCAACAAGATTAGGATTCAATTTACGTGCGGTGGTAAACGACAACGAAGTATTTAACTGTTTAAATAATTCTTTCAGCAATTTTTCTAAATTGTATCGACGAGTATACATTGGTATACATACCCTTTTGGTAATCCCACTTCTGAATTGTAATAAATAAAACAATCTCCTAGTTCTTAGTTGGTTATATTATTACTATTAAACAATAAACACTTATAATAATACTAAAAGTATTATACTCTTAATAACAATCTTTGCCAGCATAATATCAATAGCATTGTCTTGTAACAACCACAAGTCTGTCGTCTCTCGCCATTGCTCTCAGAACTTCCCCACCCGCTATCCCTTCTCGCTCGTGTTTCCATTTTTAGCCAATCTCAACACGTTTCCGGAGTCAGCTACCAACTTACAATAATGAAACTACTTGAACTAAGTAAATTATTATACATTAATTTATAAAATAATATTTAAAATGATATGATAAATTTAGAAATCATGACATTTGTTTATACAATTTTAAAGAATTTTCATAGAACCAGCATGGTGGCGATCACCTTATTCCCAGGGGTTATTTTCATTCATGTATTCCTTGATATTATAATAACCCTTTTTGTACAGTTTTTCTTTAATTAAAATTTTTAAACTTGTTTATTGACAAACTTTGAACATGTTCTGGGATTTTGTTGTAAAAGCGCATACATTGCCCCATAAATGAATTACTAATTCTGTGGAGTCTAGTAACTGGCATTACAAGCTTATGTTTGTTCCTAGTGTTTAAGGTATGAACATCCTAATTCTTATTAAAGCTATTTATGTTTTTATGTACATACATTACATTTTCATAAATATATTGCGATGCCAAAGTTAATATGTTTATTTCTTTAAATTTTTCTCTGAGGGACTCTTTACAATTTAGATTATAAATCGCCCGTACGGCTCTCTTTTGCAAAACAAATATAGCTTCAATATCAGTCGCATTACCCCATAGCAAAATTCCATAAGACATTACCTCGTACCCATACTTCAGAATATTTATCATAACTTTTGATGGAATGAACTGATTTTAATGAAATAAAGACTAAATGTAACCCGAAGATACACTTTATAATTTCCTTAACGATTCTCATGATATAAGTTAGTACTTTATATGTGATACGTTAACAAACAAACAGACAGACAGACAATTCTAAAAACGGTCGAAATGTATTTAATTACTTATTTTTAGTATCTCTCAATCACTTTTAGTACAAAAATATAAAATGTACAGACGTTTGCTATTTAGATTTTTATTATATGTATAGATTTCAACTTAAGTTTAAAATTTGGCTACTCTTTCAAAAATAACCCTGTGTAATATTTAAAGATATGAAGCCAAAACTTATTCAATACTTAGATGCTCCAATCACTGACCCATGAGATTTTTAATTTAATTGATGACGTTATATTGCAGACTCTGCTCTCTACGCACACTACGTGTTTAAGGCGTTCGACGTGAACTGCAGCGGAGCTATCAGCTTCAGAGTGAGTACGACCACAATTTTGAATCATATTGTTTATTCGCAACTTCAAAATCTTTAAAAACTGTTTTTTTTTTCTGTTAGATTTTCTTAATGCATGCAACAACCTAGGTAAGACGCAATCTGACACAGAATTATTAAAACAAGACGACATAAAAAGATAAGAAAAAGATAGATTTATAAGGCAAACATATTAAGAGAAAAAAATGTAGCAAGAATGGGTAGACTTGACCGGGGAAGTACCACGCTTACAGAATACCAGCGTGAAATAGCAGCTTAATTCTGCAGTGTTACGTATGGTGAGTGTAGAGAACCGGAGACCCTTTTACTGGAAACGAGGCATTCTATCTCAGTCCCCATGGGTGGATAATTTGATTCTAAATCAAAAATAAAGGTGTATGTGGACCTCAGCATCGTTTTCCATCCTTACTTGTAAAAAAAAAACTGTATAATTGCAGCCTTTAAGGCATTCAATCTTCACATTACTCTGTAGCATTATTTTGTAGTAAGTTGCGCGTATCATAGTTCAAACATTCTACCTAGTCAGGTCATAAGTATTGTCACACAGTAAAAACTTTTCTTTTAGAATGCTGGCCACAAAAAAGTTTATTGAATGCGAATTCCGAATTGTTCATGAAAATAAAACTGTATACTTTTTAGAATTTTACTTATTTTTAAATATGGAGTGGACGCTTAAAGAACACCGTGTTGCAGTTATTGCGTTGCATCGTTGCGGTTACGCGCCAATTCAAATTTTTGACATACTGAAAAATTTGAATATAACCAAAAGATTCATTTATCGTACCATCAAACGATACAATGAAGACTCTAGTGTAGATGACAGGTCAAGAAGTGGTCGCCCTCGGTCTGTTAGGACTCCAGCAGTGATAAAAGCTGTGAAGGCGCGAATTCAAAGAAATCCCAAACGTAAGCAGAAACTGTTGGCCCTTCAGATGGGGTTAAGCAGAACCACGGTGAAAAGGGTGTTAAATGAAGACTTAGGGCTTCGGGCATATCGAAGAAAAACAGGACATCGTTTGAATGCTCGTCTAATGGACCTGAGACTGAAGAGATGCCGCGCTTTGTTAAAGCAGTACGCGGGAAAAAAATATCGGGAAATTCTTTTTTCGGATGAAAAAATTTTAACAGTAGAAGAGAGCTACAACAAACAAAATGATAAGGTGTACGCACACAGTAGTGAAGAAGCGAGCAATCGTATTCCGCGTGTCCAACGAGGTTATTTTCTATCCTCGCTCATGGTATGTTTGGGAGTTTCTTATTGGGGCTTAACAGAGGTACATTTTTGTGAGAAAGGTGTAAAAACGAATGCAGTTGTGTATCAAAATACAGTCCCGACGAACCTTGTGGAACCTGTTTCTCATACCATGTTCAATAACAGGCACTGGGTATTCCAACAAGATTCGGCGCCAGCTCATAGAGCGAAGAGCACACAAGACTGACTGGCGGCGCGTGAAATCGACTTCATCCGGCACGAAGACTGGCCCTCCTCCAGTCCAGATTTGAATCCGTTAGATTACAAGATATGGCAACACTTGGAGGAAAAGGCGTGCTCAAAGCCTCATCCCAATTTGGAGTCACTCAAGACATCCTTGAATAAGGCAGCCGCCGATATTGACATGGACCTCGTT